AGGACTGCTTGCCAGTATCCTATATTTTCCATGAATTCCATGCTATTCCTGGGGCTTGTGTGAGGCTTCCCACCCTGATGAACAATAGTTCTTTTCATCAAACAAATGAGGCTATTAACATTGATTGCTCTGTTCTCTAAGATCTTAAAGATCATGTGACCTCCTTGTTCTGAAGAAAATCCTCCTTGTTCTGGAGGGCCATTGAATGGGAAATATATTCCACGAGGTTGATTAATTTTTCAAGGCACAAGTTTCTCACAGCAACATATTCCTCAGTGCACATACTGGAAATCACACACACACATATGTATGCATGCATGCACACATACATACCCTACCTAGACACCTTCCCATGGAAAGTATTTTTATTATCACTTCCCTCCAAAATAAATAAATCAATAAATCATTTAATTAATAAATAAGTGTGGGATTTTCCCATACTCTTCCAGACACCTTATGGCTGATTAAAATTCAGTTTGTTGAGTATGATTTCTGAAGGTGCCTTTGCCAGCCTGCCCTTAAATGATATTTCTTAAAAGCTCTGTCACTGAAGTGCTCCAGTGGTAGAAAGAACCACAAAAGCAAATCAGGATTGTGCTGGTCAAGCATCAAGGATCAGAACTCATCAGTCGTTTCACAGTAACTGCACAATGATCCATATTCAAACGTGGGTTGCATATGCCGCCTGCAACCTGCACACCATTTATTTCTCAACAAGGTCACAATGGGATTAATTCCACTGAGGGTTAAAAAGTTCCTTTGGTCCTGTTTCCATGACTGCTTTGATCAGATGAAGAAGGGGACCAGAAGAGAGAAGAAGAAGGAGAAAGACGAGAAGCAATAGTAGCTGCAATGAGATAGAACATCAATTTTGGCCATTGCTGACATGTTATTCCTTTTGTTGCTGTTATACGCTTCAACCAGTACTCTTCAACCAGTAAGCACCCAAATTATCTTAGAAAAAAGTGGTAAACTCTAACAGATCAATCTTAAAACTCTAGGATTAAAATCACACACAGAGAACTTTATTACAAAGGCTCAAGGCTCAACAATTGTTTTAGTTTGGGAAATATGAACATACTGGTCTGGGGACAATCATTATCACACAGTTCTTCCAAATCACCATGGTGCTGCTTCTATCCTAGCTTTTGTCTTCTACACACTGGCCCCCATAGCCTTGCCTCCCTGCTGGCCTTTTGGTCAGTATTTATTTTCCCTTTATTTTTATCACAATTGTGTGATCACAACAATCCATTAAGTAAAAATTAAAGAAAGAAAGAAAAAGGCTTGCTTGGGAATAGAGATGGGGAGCAGGAAGAGAAGCATAATCACACCCAGTTGCTTCAGGATGGACTTATCACACATGCTCCAACAGTGGAAAAGCAGCACAACTGGGAATCTTTGGGCCTTTGCAGACTGCCAAAAATAGTGCAAATTGAGTCCACTTTAAGGGTTAGGGTTAGTGCTAGGGAATCATGGGAATTGTTTTTTTTTTTCTGAGACATTGAGCCTTCTCTGTCAGAGAGCTCTGGTGTCACAATAAAATACAGTTCCCATGATTCCCTAACCCTAACCCTAACCCTAACCCTTAAAGTGGACTCAATTTGCACTATTTCTAGCAGTCTGCAAAGGCCCTTTGATGGGTTTTGCCTGTCAATGAGAAGGAGTACTCCAACACTGGATGGAATATAGACCAGCAACTGGACAAAGACAGTGCCTTGTGATAAGATATGTCCACAGGCACTACTATCCTGCACTAATTCCACTTTTCAAACCTCATGTGATAAAGTGCAAAGAAAATCTCTGCCACTGGTGATATACCCATTGCTGTGAAATGGAACACAACAGAAGCAGGATGGTGGTGGTGGTGACTGGAGACAGTTTTGGATCTGTTAGCTCCCAGGTTTTTCCATTCTTACAAGAAAGGTGGACCAGGCCACTCAACTGTTCTAGCTTGGAGATGACTTTCCCTCCTGCACAACTGTACCCAATGGGAAGGCTTTTTTTGCTTTTTGCTTTGTTTTAAATCCACCTTGCTGAAAAGCCCAGTAAAACTTTTGTCATCACACCTCCATTTAGGGGGGGAAATGAAATGCACATATATAGGACGGGGAACACCTGGCTTGACACAGTTGATATGAAAGGGAACTGCCATGACTCCTGAATCCTATGGAATTGTGTGGTTTGTAGTTTGGTGATGTGCTAGAGGACTTCTCTGGATTAGTATTTTAAATGCCATTTGCTAAACTAAAAATGTCAAGGTTCTATAAGAGGTTAGCATGGCATTTAGGACCTTATCACTCAGGCAAATAACCAGGCATCAAAAACAGGCTAGCTCAGCACTGCTGAGACTCAAGATGCTGGTGCCTAGTGGAAATGGCGGTGAATTACAATGCAATAATTCCCATCTGCATCACATGTCCTGGCTGCATCCTGTTGGACTGATGCCAGATTATTTGCCTGAGTGATAAGGTCCTTGAAGTGGAAGCATGCCATTATAACTGTAGTGTGAAAATGCCCTAAGTTTTGGAAACGGCACAGGATCCACCACTTCACTTCCCCTCCTATCCCACAGAATAGTTTTCATAGAATCATAGAATCATAGAATCATAGAGTTGGAAGAGA